CACAAGGGTCTGGGATGCGTGGCTGGTGGTCACCTATAGATCCGGGTGGAGGGAGAGGAAAAGTGTTGGGGGACAGAACAAATAAGGGGTCCATGGCACAGGGCAAAGACTCAAGGAGGAAGGGCGTCTACGTGTTAGATGCTTCATCACACAAGACAAGGCCTGGAAAGCATCCACTGGGCTCAGTGACAAAGGACTCCACTCGTAGGTGAACTTGGCAAAGGCCAGGCAGTTTGGGTGGTGCAGTGGGGGGCAGAGATAGATGGTGATTGGTGGAAGGTGAGGAACAGAGACAATGAGTCTACTCAGGGGGCCTAGCTGGGAATCAGGAGATAAGGAGGTAGCTGCAGGGGACATGGGTTCAAGGAGGGGTTTTGCTTTTGTGTTTTGGGTGGGGCAGATCTGAGCCTGCTTCGGTGCTGAGAGCCAGGAGAGAGAAGTAGAAGATCAGGAATAAAGCAAGGAGATGGGGACCAGCCCCACGTGGCACAGCCCATTAAGCCAGTTAAGCCAAAGAGAAAGTGTTGGGTCAGGCTTGGAGGTGCCTGTGGGGTGCTGAGCAGATGTACAGTCAGGTGGTGGCAAGAGCCTCCCCTTGCACCTGCCCCACCAGCTCTCCTTCCTTCCTGTTTCAACAGCTGAGCTGTCCTATAGAGTCTAGGTTCCCTTGGCTGTCTTGGGCCCTTGACTTTCTCCACTGGATCCATCCTGGCACTATTTAGATGTTATCACATCTCTCCCATCATAAAAGTAAAAGTAAAAAAAAAAAAAATCTTGACCCCGGCTTTCTTTCTTTCTTTTTTTGACAGGCAGAGTTAGGCAGTGAGAGAGAGACAGAAAGGTCTTCCTTCCATTGGTTCACCCCCAAAATGGGCGTTACGGCTGGCGCACTGTGCCTATCCGAAGCCAGCAGCCAGATGCTTCTCCTGGTCTCCCATGGGGTGCAGGGCCCAGGACTTGGGCCATCCTCCACTGCCTTCCCGGGCCATGGCAGAGAGCTGGACTGGAAGAGGAACAACCGGGACAGAACCGGCGCCCCTACCGAGACTAGAACCCGGAGTAGCAGCGCTGTAGGCAGAGGATTAGCCTAGTGAGCCGCGGTGCCGGCGACCCTGGCTTTCTTGACCTTGCCTTCTGTGGTGGACTGGGGGCTCCCGGCTAAGCTCGCGGCAGGTTCTTCTCTGGGCATGGGAGGGAATGCAAGGGTGGAGGCCTGCCGGTGTCCAGGAGAGCAGGATTGATTTGGAACAGATTTGCAACCTCAAGAACCAAGTCGTGCATGAGCAAATAGCCAGAAATGGAAAAGGGCCTCAAAGAAAAGCCCCTCCCAAGGACAATTTTCCAAGAGTGAAGAATCCTCCACAAAGGAAAAAACCCTAGGAAAAAAGCTTCATTACCAGAAAAGCCCCTGATTCAGGAAAAAACCCTACCAAAGTTAGGCCTGCCCTCCACACCCTCCAGAGGCATTGGGGGTTCCGTCTGGGGCAGAGCCCTATTGAATATTCAGAGGGCAGAGTTATGGGCAGGGAGCCAGCACTGCCTATTTCTGTATCCATTTGGAGAAAAAGCGGCAGTGTCATGGCTGACAGGGGCATGCTGGGAGTGGGCATGCCATGCCACCATGGCAATATTATTGCAAGGACACCATAGTGACCTGAAGGTTATGGGCTGGGGGCTCACATCCTGCAACTGTGTTGGATATTCCCAGCTAGAGCTGAACTTGCAGGGGTTTGCTGGTGCCTGGAGGTGGTCCTGCACCATGCACAGGAAGGGAGGGGAGCCTGGGTGCTGCACCAAGGGGCCCTGTTACGCAGATCAGGCCAGGCTGCCACAGGCAGCCCTGGCGGTAAAACACTAACTTGTCCAGAGCTGTCAATCAAGGACCTCTGGGATCCACCGCAAGCAATGAGTGTAAGTTTGAGTTTGTTAATTTCAGGCACGCAGTGTTTCAGGGTTCCCAGCTGCTGTCAAACCCCAGTTTGGCTGACCTGTCAATCATTAGCTCCTCCCCCTAATTACCCACAATTCCATATCTGTTCTCAAAGCCACCACTGTTCAGGCAGTGGTATGCATTCAATGTCTCCATTTGCTTGGCTTTCACTGTGTCCTCACCTCAGTACACCTGGTTTTAGAGTCTCAATCTCCACTAATGACATCCTTCCCACAGAGGGCCTGCTGACCCGTCGAATGACCAGGCTGGTGTGAATCTAAGGGCATCTTCCCATCTTATTTGATTTGAACTACATCAGTGTTTGGCCCTGCCTGTTGGCTTCTATGATGTCACCTTCCTCTGCTATGATGCCCTACCCCTTGGTTTCTGTGGCATCTACTTAAACCACCTTTAGCTGGCTTTCTCATGTTCTTTTCTCATATTCTCATATTCTTTCTTTAAAAAAATGAATATTTACTTGAAAGGCAGAGGGAGAAGAGGGCATTTCCAGCCTCCATTTATATTCTTTTGCCTTTTTAGGGGAGAGAACAGTGTCACATCACTGTCAAATATCTGGCAGTTTCAAGATGGCTTCTTATTATTTTATGTGATTTAAAAATTTTAAACATGTACACTTGTCCCTCGATATCCATGGGAGGGGGGGTTAGTTTCAGGACCCCCTGTGGATACCAAATTTGTTTTCCAAGTATTTTCAATCCACCATTGATTGAATCCACAGATATACTCCCCAAATGCCTGCAATAGCCAGGTTTGGACCAGGCTGAAGCCAGGAGTCCAGAACTCCTTGGGGTCTGCCACGTGGGTGATGGATCCAAGTGCTAGAGCCATCGCCTGCTGCCTCCTTCCAGGGAAGCTGAACTGGGGACAGAGCAGTGGGACCCAGACGTCGGCACTCTGATATGGGATGGGGCATCCCAAGTGGCATCTTAGTCTTACCCACTGGGCCAAGTGCCCACTCCCCGCTTTCTCTCCTCCTCCTCCTTCTTTTTTTTATTTTTATTTATTTATTTTTGACAGGCAGAGTGGACAGTGAGAGAGAGAGAGACAGAGAGAAAGGTCTTCCTTTGCCGTTGGTTCACCCTCCAATGGCCGCCGTGGCCGGCGTACCGCGCTGATCCAAAGGCAGGAGCCAGGTGCTTCTCCTGGTCTCCCATGGGGTGCAGGGCCCAAGCACTTGGGCCATCCTCCACTGTACTCCCTGGCCACGGCAGAGAGCTGGCCTGGAAGAGGGGCAACTGGGACAGAATCCGGCGCCCCGACCGAGACTAGAACCCGGTGTGCCGGCGCCGCTAGGCAGAGGATTAGCCTGTTGAGCCACGGCACTGGCTTCTTCTTTTCTTAAAGAATTTATTTACTTATTTCAAAGGCAGAGTTACAGAGAGGCAGAGGCAGAGAGATAGGGGAAGAGAGGGCTTCTATCCACTGGTTCACTCCCCAGATGGCCACAATGGCCAGAGCTGAGCCGATCAGAAGCCAGGAGCCAAGAGTTTCTTCCAGGTCTGCCATGTGGGTGCAGGGACCCAAGGACTTCTACTGCCTTTCCCAGGCCACAGTAGAGAGCTGGATCTGAAGTGGAGCAGCTGGGACTTGAACCGTCACTCATGTGGATGCCGACACTGCAGACGGCAGCTTTACCTGCTACGCCACAGCGCCAGCTCTTCCCGTGTTCTAGCTGGTCTTCAGGCCCTTCTCCAGGATCATCTTCTTTCAGCCCTGCAGCCTCTGCACAGTGGCCTCTGCTTTTGAGACTCCACCCGGGGGGCTCAGCCACAAGTTCTTCTCCCCACCACCAACCCCCCTACCCCCGCCAAAAAAAAAAAAAAAAAAAAAAAAAAGGAACTCTCCAAAGCGTTTGGGGACTAATTTGATTATATCAAGTTTTAGTGTGGTTGAAATCATGTGCTTTATTCACTGTGCAGTTTTTAAGATTGCGTATTATCTAGAACTGTTATGGGTGAAATGGTCGCAGAGAAAAGATCACCTCGGTTCTTTGTCTCACATGAAAGAATTTCCAGGTGGACCAGGCAGAGAGAAAAACCCAGATTTATTTAAGTCAGAAACCTCTCGCTGCAGTAGCCAGGAGGCAGGCTCCAAGAGAGGCAGACCCAAGAGGCTGGTGGAAGTGGGTTTTTTTAAAGCACAATTTTAGGGAAAAACTAACAATCAGTTAGAAGGCGGAGACAAAACCCATCAAAAGGCCAGGGTTTGTAATCTTGTTTGCCCTGTCTGGTGAGATTGGTGACTTCTGATTTCACAGTATACTGGGAGCTCAGAAGGGTAGAATCACCACTCCCTTGCTATTCCCATGATAAGACTGGAAGCTCCCAAGGAGTGGGAAATTCACTTTCCTCTCATTAAAGGCAGCTTTGGGGGGTGGAAACTTGCAGTGGGATTCAGCAGTTTTTTCCTACTAAAGATAACTTTTGGGGGACGCAAGCATTTTGCACCCTATTAAATGGACTTCCCTTCCCTCATTTTCCACTGAGATCAACCTATTGATCCATCTGGCTACTCGTTGTCACATCCACTCGTCAGCTAAAACAAAATGTTACAAAAACAAGTGACAGTCACACATGAATTTTATTGAAAATGAGAAGCAAATGAGAGACAAATGAGAGGCAAGGTAACAGATCAGGACCGGCCACCGATCGGGACCAATACTCCTTACCAGAGTGCAGGTTACATAGCTCACTAGGGCTCACAATTTCGAACCAGACCCCTGGTATGCAGTGAACAATAAAGAGGAAAACCAGAATGTGGTTGTAAGATAACAGTGAACAATAACAAACCCAATAGCAGATCCAGTGAAGGACACATTTGGGTCAACCTAGTTCCTGGGAATTTGAGCCCACATAGTTTCACAAGATACACCCTTAGCCGTTCGCAAGCAAAGCTAATATGTACAGAAGCAAGAGATCTGCAATTAGCTTTTAGCCACACTCACTTACTTTTGATTCTGATTCTATACTCATGAAACCATGCATTAGGAAAAATTACTTTTTTCCCTTTCATATTTTATGAAGCTGTTTTATTTAAACTTTTTGCATTGATATCTGGGTCAATATCGTTAGAGCTTTCTTGGTTATCATCAACATTTTACAAAACACAAAAGCGCTACTTCTGGCCAAGCTGTTGGTGAAACAGTGCTGTTTGAATCTGTATATGAAGCTGGAAACTTTATTCTTTGTCACACACAAAAAAAGAGGTTGCATAAATTTAAAAAAATCATGCAGTAGGTGTGCATTTGTCATGCACACACCATAACTGCCTCCTCTATTGTTTGTAAAGTGATTTGTTAAGGCTTGCTGACAAAGACAATGCTCACAATCTCAGGTCCCACCCCCAGGAATGCTGATTAAATCTAGGTAAAATATCTTGGCCATTGTTTTCTGATTCTGTCAGGCTACCTCCCCAAGTATCCAAAACCTCATTGACTGAGGTTATTTCAGGCTAATGAATTTCACGCAAAGAGCATTTTGTCGTTCAGATGCAATAATTGAGAGCATGCCCCCTGGTGCATCTTCAGATGTGCACGCTGACAACGCCCCCCCCCCCCCCCCCCAATGGATATCTCCAGCCTTGTGCTTTCTCCCTCTTCTGTTCCCTTCTGCAGTCGGCACTGACCCATGTTTACTGAGTGCCTACCATACGGAGCGTTCTTCTAGGTGCTGGGGAATAAAGAGTGAACACAACAGGGTCCTTGCTCCGAAGTCCCTTCTCATCCTCTCTATGGACAACAAGGAAATACACATGTGAATGTTACAGGTGAAATGGCGGCGGAGAAAGTGTTACCCTGGTTCTTTGTCTCTCACGTGGAAGAAGAATGTCCAAGTGGACAAGGCAGAGAGAAAGCATTTAGAAACATTTAAAAGCAAGATTTATTAGAGTCAGAGATCTCCAGTCGAGAGTGGCATGGAGAGGGGATCCGAGAGAGGCGAAACCTGGAAGGCTGGGGGTAGTGGGGTTTTTAAGCACAATCTTGGGGAAGAAACTGTCAATCAGTACAAGGAGGGGATAAGACCTGATTTATATTATAATTTTTTTACCCTGTCTGGCTTGCTCTTGATAAAACAAAGAAGGATGGGACACCTAATTTACTTTACAATAAGCTGGGAGCTCAGAAGGAATCACCACTTCCTTGCTATTCTCATGGTAAAATTAGAGGTTCCTAAGGAAGTAGGGCGGGCACTTTTATTCTTGCTAAAGATAACTTTTTTGGGGGGGGAAGAAAGCATTTTGCACCCTCAATTTCCACCGGGACCACTCTGGCTGCCTATTAACCCATCTGACTCCCTATATTAACAATAGAAAGTGCTGGGACATCCTAGTAAATGCTGCAGGGTTGGAGAAATGAGGTAGGTGACAGAGTGATCATGTGCTCCTTCTGTGGAGGTGGGTCACAAAGGGGTTCCTGGCCAGCGCCACGGCTCAGTAGGCTAATCCTCCACCTTGCAGCGCTGGCACACCGGGTTCTAGTCCCGGTTGGGGCGCCGGATTCTTTCCCGGTTGCCCCTCTTCCAGGCTAGCTCTATGCTGTGGCCAGGGAGTGCAGTGGAGGATGGCCCAAGTCCTTGGGCCCTGCACCTGCATGGGAGACCAGGAGAAGCACCTGGCTCCTGCCTTCGGATCAGTGCGGTGCGCCGGCCACAGCACACCAGCCGTGGCGGCCATTGGAGGGTGAACCAACGGCAAAAGGAAGACCTTTCTCTTTGTCTCTCTCTCTCACTATCCACTCTGCCTGTCCAAAAAAAAAAAAAAAAAAAAAAAAAAAAAGGGATTCCTGCAGTAGGGGATGTGTGAGTTGAGAGCTGAGTGCAGGGAAGACAGGCAAGAGAAGCCGGGGGCAGGGCAGATGCATGTGCAAAGGCCCCGTGAGGGGAGAAGGCAGGAAAGGGCAGAGCGTGCAGAGAGGAGAATGTGGAAGGAGACAGCTTTGGAGAGGGTAGCCAGGGCTCAGACCTGTCACACCCAACCTTGTGCAGGCCATGTGGAAGAGTCGGGCTCATTATTTTTCTGGCCATAATAGGAAGGCACTTAGAGGAGGGGACTTGATTGATCTGACTTGTGTGCTAGAAAGATCCTTCAGGCTCCTGTGGGGATGCGGAGTTTCAGGGGAGCAAGAGAGGAAGCTGGGCACCTGGTCGCTGCAGGTGTGCAGGTACTGGGACAAGGACAGTCCACTGGAGAGGGTAGGAAGCGATTGGGTTTGAAAGCATGTTGGCACTATTGCCCACACGACTTGCTAATGGTGTGGGTGCGATTGTGAGGAAAGAGGATGGTGGAGGTGGAAGACACACACCTGTTCTCAGGTAGGGGCATGAGCAGTTCTATTTTAGATGAGCAACGGGAACTCGGATGCCTGAGTCTGACATGGGAGAGGTTGGCTCTGAAGACACGAATGTAGGCGTCATCCATTTATCGATGGTTTTATAGGTGCTACTGGATAAATCACCGAAGGATGCATAGAGAGGAGAGGGTGGAGAACTGGACCCTGGGGCATCATGAACTTAGTGAGTAGGAAGAGGAGAGGAGCCATCAGTGGAGGTCAAGAGAGAAAAGCCAGGAGAAGGTGCCGCGTGGAGCAAGAGAGGACGGTGTTCAAGCAGGGGGCTTCCGTGGCCAAACACTGCTGAGGACGTAAGAGGAGGCTGCAGATCTGACCCCTGGATCTGGGAACTTGAAGGCCAGTGGTGACCTTGACCAGAGAGGAGTGATGAGGAGTGAAGAAGGTTTGCACAGGTGACACTTAGAGGTGCCACACAGGTGACACTTTGTCTTCTGTCAAGGGGAGGAGCTGAGGAAGGATGTGGCATCAAAGGAGCACTGGGAAAAGGGAGAGATGAATAGACTATGATAGGAGCCAGTGCTATGGCTTAGCAAGTTCAGCCTCTGCTTGTGATGTCGGCATCCCATGTGGGCGCTGGTTTGAGTCCTGGCTGCTCCACTTCTGAACCAGCTCCCTGCTAATGCACCTGGGAAAGCAGCAGAAGATGGCCCAAGTAACTTGGGCCCCTGCACCCATATGGGAGACCCAGAAGAAGTTCTGGGCTCTTCAGCCTGGACCAGCCCTGGCTATTGTGGTCATTTGGGGAGTGAACCAGAGGATGGAAGATCTCTCTCCCTGTGTGTCTCTTCTCCTCTCTGTAACTCTGCCTTTCAAATAAATAAAAAATAATAAATCTTTAAAGCAAAAATAAAATATATGGTCATTTGCAGAGAGAGGGATTGTGACTTGGGGGAGAGAGGGACTGGCTGTGGAGCACAGTCCCAAGTGGGTGAGAGGTGGTGGGGTCCAGGGACCAAGTAGATGGGTTTCCCAGGAGCAGGGATATGCTGTTCAGGCTGCAGGAGAGAAGGCAGAGTGCCGGAGCTCCTGCAGCTGTGGTGGGGTACAGGAGCTAGCAGTTGCCTGATGCTTCTGTTCTCCAGGAACACACGGTGTGTGGCTGGCAGTGGAAATGGAAGTTGGAGGAAAAAGTGTGAGACAGGCATCAGGGATCAGGGGTAAGGCTTTAGGATGATGCAGAATTGCTTGCAGGTGCTGAGTGTCCACCTGGGCTCTGTGGTCTGAAGCTTAAACTACGAGCAGCCTGGTTGTGCTCTTCTCAGGTGCTCAGTGGAGTCAAGTTTGAGTAGAATCCGGGTCCTGCCCCCTGGGTGGCGCGGAGGCCTGGAGAGGAAATGGAGGACATCTCGGAGTTGGTGATTACCTGGGGCCCCATGGAGTCTGAGCTGGGAAGGGCGGTGAACAATGGTGGGTAGACTGCAGGGGTGGGCAGCAGAGTGAGGGAGCTCAGATGTTACGGGAAAGCGGTGGTGGAGAACATAGTGTTACCTCAGTTCTTTGTCTCACATGGAAGAAGAATTTCCAAGCAGACAAGCAGAGAGATTCTAAAAATCAAGACTTATTTGCAATCCTTTTTCCTGTCTGGCTTGCTCATGATAAAAGGGCCATCACAAGGGTGGAATATCTGATTCCTTTGACAGTAAACTGGGAGCTCAGAAGGGTGGAGTCACCATTCCTTTGCTATTCTCATGATAAGATTGGAAGCTCCCAGCAGACAGGCACTTCTGACCTTGCTAAGGTTAACTTTGTTGGGGCAACATTTTTCACCCTCAATCTGCAGACTGCCTGTTAACCCAAGACTCCTCATAAAGAGACAGGTGGGTACAAGGTCCTTGACAAAGTCCAGCGCATGAGCGATGGAAGAGGCCAGGGCGCTGGACATGCAGCCACCAAGAATGAAGGAAGGGCAGCTGCTAAAAAAAGACAGTGAGCCGAGGGCCAGGATGGCCCATGGTGGCAGGGAGCAGCCAGGATTTCTCATCTGTATCTCCGACTCACAACGTGTACAGCTGGCTTTGTGGTGCAGTGGGTTAAGCTGCTGCTTGCAATGTTGGCAACCCACACTGGAGGGCCAATTTGTGTTCCAGATGCGGTGTTTCCAATCCAGCTCACTGCTCTTGTGCCAGGAAGGCAGCAGAGAATGGCCTGAGTCCCTGGGCCCCTGCCATGCATGTGGGACACTGGTTAGAGTTCCTGGCTCCTGGCTCTGGCCAGGCCCCGCCCTGGCCGAGGTGGTGGCTATTTGGGGAGAGAATTGATGGGTGGAAGATCTCTTTCTGTCTCTCTCCCTCTCTCTCTGTCACTCTGCCTTGCAAAGAAAGGAAGGAAGGAAGAAGCCTTAAACCCTCAAAATGTCTGAAGCTAAAGCTGTGGCATCTCCGTCACGCTGGCTCCTCCACCCGGCTTCCTGCTCCAGTAAAAGGTTCCAACTGCTGGAGCCAGAAAGCTGGGTGGGTGAGTTCTCCTTCTCCTTGGTCCCCATACCCAATCAAATTACCAAACCCCTCTGATTGTATCTCGTAACCATTTCTAAAATCCAGCTCTTGCTTCCGTCCCCATTGTACACACCCTGGTTCAGGCCATTGTTGGTTCCCGTTCGGGTTATTGCCGCAGATTCCAGAGAGCCCTGCCTTGGCCCCTCCTCACTGCAGCCAGACGCACTGCCAATCATATCATGTCTCCTCTGCGCCAGATCTCTCCAGGGCCTGGGCATCGTCCTAAGGAGAAAGTCTGAAATCATCAACAGGGATTTACCAAGAAAGCACTGCGCTACTGGCCCCCCGCCACCCCAGCCCCTCACCTGGCTGGAGCTCTCCTGGTGTCTTTTAGCCTTGGCCATCAGGTTGACTTCCCCTTTGCAGGTGCCGTCCCCTCTGTCTGGAATCTCACCCTTTTGCTTGGCAAAACCCTTCTCTCTCTCAGGGAGTCGATATAAGAGGCCTCAGGGCCAGCATTGTGGCAAAATGGATTAAGCCTCCACCTGTGACACTGGGCATCCCATACAGGCACTGGTTTGAGTCTCAGCTGCTCCACTTCCAGCCCAACTCCCTGCTAATGTACCTGGGAAAGCAGCAGAAGATGCTCCAAGTGTCTGAGTCCCTGCTACCCACGTGGGAGACCAGATGGAGTTCCAGGCTCCTGGCTTTGGCCTGGCCCAGCCATAGCTATGGTGGTGGGCATCTGGGGAGTTAACCACTGGATATAAGATCTCTGTCTCTGTAACTCTGCATTTCAAATAAATAAATAAATCTTTAAAAATAGAGGACTCAAAAGAGGCCTTCGAGAGTCCGCTTCTGGATGCCCAGGTGTCTGTCGCCCTCCCCTTCTGCTCCCAGCACCGCTGCTTCCGCAGCCGGGAGCTGGGCGGCTGTCCTCTTTCACAGAGCATGAGCTCCACAGTCATGTCTGCTTCTTCCCAGCACCTAGCACAGGACTTTCAAATAGAAGCAAAGAGCAGATATTTGTTGACTAGAATCGCATGGAAGGTTCTAGAGGTGGAGTGGTTTTGGGTGATGACTATGTCTGGGGTGTGGTCCCGTGAGTGGGTAGCTAACCACTGAGAAGGAGGTCATGGAGTTGGTGATTATCTGGTGGGGGGGAGGAGGGGAAGAAGGGGAGGGGAGGGGAGAGGGGAAGGGAAGGGAGGGGTGGGGAGGTACCTAGGATCCCATGGCCCTAGGCTGTGGGAGAAGACCGGGAGGAGGAGACCTTGGCCATGGTCTCAGTGGCTGATGTAGGAGGAGAAGTAGGCAGTAGCAATGGGGATAGGAAAGAGGAAGATGATGGGGGCAAGACAGAGTGGGGGTGGAGGGGCCTGAGAGTGTGGGTGGGACCGGGGATGACAGCCCAGTGACTGAAGTGTCTGTCCCTCTGGAGACCCCAGGCTGGTCAGAGGGGGCTGGGCCTCCGCCTGGCTCAAGGCTGTGGCTTCCAGACTTCTGGGAACAGCACCGATGGGGAGGTCACCATGGGAGTGGTCAGGCCGGGAACGGGCTCATTATATGCCCCTGGAGTGGGCATCTGTGACCTCAGCGGGAGTTGGCTGTGGCCTTGGGAGCTAGCTTGGTCTGGACAGAGTGGGTTGCCTGGTGTCTCCCATGTTGGTTGGTCACAGCCCTGTGGGAGGGAGCTGTTGTTGTTTCCTGGGGTTTGGAGTTCAGTAGATGGCACTGGTGGCCTCCTCATGTGTTTTTTAAATATTTATTTTATTTATTTGAAAGAGTTATAGAGACACAGAGGGAAAGTCCTTCCATCTTCTGGCTCACTCCCCAGCTGGCTGCAATGGCCAGAGCTGGGCTAATCCGAAGCCAGGAGCCAGGAGCTTCTTCCGGGTCACCCATGTGGGTGCAGGGGCCCAAGTACTTGGACCATCTTCCACTGCTTTCCCAGGCTACAGCAGAGAGCTGGATCAGAAGTGGAGCAGCTGGAACTTGAACCTGCACCCGTGTAGGATGTCAGCACTGTGGGCTGAGGCTTTAACCCGCTGTGCCATAGCGCCAGCCCCTCATGTGCTCTTTACTGGGGGCTCCCTTCTCCTGCTGCTGTGAATATTGGCTGCTTGTGGCTTGCAGCCCCCCCTCCCCACCCCGCTGGAAAACTCATCTTGGCTGAGCCAGACACCTGCCCCTTCGTGCCAGTGCACCTGCCACTTGGGTGGCCTGAAGCCAATGGCTGACTGACAGAGGATCTCAAAGCCTGGTACCCTTGTGTCCAGGGGGGACAGCCTGACTGTCCAAAGCCCCTGCATAGCATGGTTGGTGATCAGGCCAAGGCTACATTTCCCTGTGTGCCCATCGCCACTCGGCTTGGCCAGCTCCCTGTCCTACTTCCCCTGCTCCCCTAAGGCACATCCACCCCAGCCTCAGGCTCTGTCTGCAGGGAGCCTAACTTGCCATGGGCTGCCTCTCTGATCCTGCCCCTTAGTCAAAGGTAGGTGTGGCGGCTTCCCAGGGACCACAAGGGACACCGTGTCCAGCAGACCCAGCAGATCCCCTTGCCAATCCAAGTTCAATGTCACCCAATTTGCCAAAGCCCCTGGGCTGGTGCAGCGCAGGATTCAGATAAACAGGACGCAGTTCCTTCCCCAGGCAGCTCACAGCCTCGTTACTCATTTCATAAACATTTATTGAAGGCAGCCAGAACCTGAGTGACTCAGGGCCCACTCAGTATCCTGTTCCTGAGGGGTGCACAGACTGCGGTGGACATGGGAGGTGCTGACCGCTCCAGCAGGGGAGCAGGGCAGAGCACGGGGACTCTGACACCGGGAGTGGCCGTTAGGGGTTTCCTGGAGGTTGGAGGAAGGGTTGCAGAGAGGCAGAAAGGGTTCCAGAAGGCAGGCAGCGGGCACAGGGTATGACAAAGGCTGTGACCACTCCAGGGACCACAGGCCCTGTGGGGTCATTGGAGGGTAGAATGGGGTGGGGAGACAGGATGAGGGTTAGCGGTCAGTGGCGGCCAGGGTGGGGAGAAAGTCGTGGTTGGGGGGAGCTGTGGAAGGATTTTCAAAGCAAGAGAAATGACTCGGTCAGATTGGTATTCACACAAGCCAGTGTGTCCCCACAGCAGAGGCTGGATGGGAGAGGCCCAGCGAGTGGCAGCCAGGCCTTGGGACGGGGACGGAGGGCAGACTGGGAGGCGTTTGGGAGGTGGGATGAGTGGGACCGGGTGCTGTGTGGGGCTGTGGGGGGAGGGGCTAGTGAGGGGTGGGGGGTGAGGGCTGCAGGCCAGCAGCTCTGGGCTTAGACAGCTTGGGGGCTGGCAGTGCCCTTCCCAAGTGATCTGCCTGGAGGAGTGGGAGTGATGAGGGGCGGGGCTCCCAGGGAGGCAGGGCCAGGCTGCAGGGGTGGTGCTGGGGAGGCCAAGGTGGTGGGGGTGGGGAGGGGAAGGATTAGGCTGCTCCGGAACGGGTGTTGGTGGGGTGTGGGAAATTCTGCAGACTGAGACCCTCAAGGGGTCTTTCAGCTCCGATGGTCTCAAGAGGCCCCCTGACCACACCTCCTACCCTCTGAGGGGACTCACCTGCCTTGGACCTGTGCTGGGCTGGATAAGGGAGGCTGGGAGGGGGAGGCAGAGGCCACCTGGACCATCCGCCTTCATGCGATGGTCACTCACTCTCTCTTATGGTCACACCAGTTCTCCTGGGATCCCTCTCCTTCCACCTTGGCCAGCGTTAGAGAGCCCCAGGCCCTTGGAGAAGTGTCTTCCTTTGGGCCCTCCCCTCCGAGTCCTGGAGCACCCTCCTGTGTGCGTGTGAGGGTGTGTATGTGTTTGGGGCGGTGATGGGTGAGCCTGGGTCTAAGCTTCCAGGGCTCAGTTGCCCGCTGTGCTCGTGGCCTCCATTCCGAGGTCCATCTGAGTCCCTCTGCTCTCAAATCTGCCGCTCTCCACTTGCTCTGCAAAGTACTGAGAAAATCATATTTATTCAGGGTTTTGAGGCTCCCTATGCCATATGCAAAATCCCCACCAGCCATCACCCTTCTCTGCCCCAGGCGTAGGACCCAGGGAGCACACTGCCCTCCTGGCCTGCGCTGGTCCTGGGAGAGCTTCCCCAGCCCCACTGCCAACCTGCCCTGTTACAGGCACCCTGGCCTGGGTCCGTTTTGCTGGGTGGCTTCAGGACGCAGGCAGTGGAGGCCTGGTGATCCTCCCTGCAGATCTCACGGGTCATGGGTACACACCTGTGTCCACTGGGGCCTTCATTAGGACAGAGTCCTCTTTGCCAGGGGGTTCTCCTTGGGACAGGACATACGGCGGGCAGGTGTCGGGGAGACGGCTCCGGTGCCGAGACCGCCGGCGCTTGGTGCCGAAGATCTCCAGGCACCTCTTGCCCACCAGGTAGGTGACCTCGCTGAGGTTAAGCAGGATGCAGATGACCGCTGTGGCCACCATGAAGTAGGTGAAGACCTTCTTCTCCGTGGGCCGGGAGATGTAACAGTCCACAGTGTGGGGGCAAGGTGCCACGGAGCAGGCCACCACGCGGGGCATGTCGTAATCCTGGTAGAGGTAGTGGAAGATGTAGAGGAAGCCCGAGTCCACGGAAGCCTTGAAGATGAGACTCAGCAGGTACGTCCACCACAGCCCGCCCCGCTTCTTGCTCAGGTTGCTGTACAGGGCCGGGGCGTTGGGCCCGTGTTTCAGGCGGTGTTTCCGCTCGCGTTCCTCCCGGTAGGCCACATGCATGACCACGAGCAGCGAGGGGCACGTGACCAGGATGAGCTGCAGGGCCCAGAGGCGCACGTGGGACACGGGGAAGAACTCATCGTAGCACACGTTGGGGCAGCCCGGCTGCTTGGTGTTGCAAATGAAGTCCTTCTGCTCGTCGTCCCACACCTCCTCGGCCGCCACCACGTACACCAGCACGCGGAAGATGAAGACCACCGACAGCCAGATGCGGCCCAGGGCCGTGGAGTACTTGTTGACCCCGCTCAGGAGGCCCTGAAGAAACGCCCAGTTCATGCTGGCTGTGTACTGGGGGCCTCACGTGGGTGGATCTTGCACCACGAGGTCTGGGGAGGACCTGGAAATGGGCACCCGTGATGATGACGCGGGGGGTGGGGGGAAAACTGTTTTACAATCACCAAGTCCTCACGTCCTCACTTGCAAAGACTTGGACATGGCAAGATGGCCATTGCCCCCATGTCACAGGGCAGGAAACTAAGGCCCAGACAGGCAACTGCCCAAGGCCTTGCAGCCGGAAGTAGCTGAGCTGGTCTTGAGCCCTGGCCTGCAGGTTCCACAATCTGGGTCTCTTTTGCTCTACAAGGTAATAGACACATGGGAAGATGAGCATCCTGTGGAACAGGCCGGCCAGCCCCTCTCACCCCAAGTATCAGCCCGACAGCGCGCAAGAGGTTTGGATTGAGCCACGTGCTTTCCCGTCAGCTGCCACGGCTGGACCAGAGCAGCAGGGCATGGGGGTGCGTCCTCATGGGGTCAGGTTCTGAACGCATGGCCTGGCCCTGTGCTATCTGTATTCTCATCAGTCTTCTGGTAGCTCCTGGAACAATCTCCATCCTCTCTCCTCTGACCCCAGGAAGGGTCCCAGAGGTCTGCTCCCAAGCTAAACAGAGGTTCTTTGGGCCCAGATGGCTTGGCCTCGCCCCTCCCAGCCCCTGCCTTGCCTTCAGTGGGTTCCTCTGATTCCAGCTGTGCCAGCTTTAGACAAGGACTGGGGGAGGGACCGAGGCCAGATTCTGCGTGGTCTGCGCCCCACCCCGCCCCCTCTCAGAGACACTCCTCTGTCCTAGCCACATGGCCCATGATCCCTGTTTAGGCCCCCGCCCTGTGTACCCAAAGCTCCACACCCCCTACTCTGGAAGTCCCAGCATGCGCAGTCCCACGTCCTGCCCTCCTCTGCCCCCGACTCAGCTTTCAGGGCCCCTGGGAGCGTTCTGAGCACCTGCTGTGTCCTCTGGGATGAGGTGCGTCACCTGTTCTCCGCGGTCTGTTCACCTGTCTTTCCTGCTGGGCTGTTACCTACTGGTGGGCAGTCTCTACAGCCTGATCATGTCGCCTCCTGAACCCGGCCCCCGGCCTGGCCTGGCCTGGCTAACACTCTCAGTAGACATTTGTTCAACTGAATTGAAACCCGTTTCTTCCTGGTCCCTCCTCTTCTCTCGGTCCCTGGCACCTCCTCGGGAGTTTCCCCGAGGTTCCCTCTTGTCCCCTTCCCTGGGGCCCAGCCCACAGCCCCAAGATCCCTTGGGTGCCCTCAGCCCCACTGGTCCCTTGTCCCCAGCCCCACTCCTGCAGGGTTCCGTCCTCACCCGTGTTGAATCTGGCAGGCGGCTCTCCAGTCCCTGGCTGGTCTGCCCGTGGGCCTCCTGGAGGCAGCTTTTGTTCCGCACTCCCCTGCTGGGTGGGGCTTTCTGGGCCAATGAACCAAGGAGAGTGACAGGTAGGCAGGCAGGCAGGCCAGCCGGGCGGGCAGGGGACTTCCCGGGGCGCATGTTCACAGCTATCATCTCAGCTCTTCCCTGCAGGCCCACGCCTTCGCTCCTGCCCAGCTGGGCATGGCTGGGCCTGGCTCCCTGTGCTGGCAGGTGTGTGGGTGAGGGCCACAGCGAGGGTGGCAGGCTCCTGGTACCATCACGCCTGGGCCCAGGATGGAACCCGTGGAAGTGACGCTCCTTCCCCGTTGCGTTGTCTCCTTGCCCCACCTCTCTGTCCCCAGAACCGTCTCTTGGCCTTTCTCCAGAAGCCTGGTTCTGACATTTTTGGAAAGGGGCGACCCGGACTTCAGCCAGGACCGCGTCCTACCTTGGTGGGAAACACGTCTGGGGACGGGAGCTAGTGCTGCCCTCAGGTTGCATAGAGGACAGCAGGGCTGACCGTGGCTGTCCAATGGAGACATGGAATGCAGGTCGCCAGCATGAATGCCCCAGTGGGCACAGGGGCAGGCCCGGCCTCCCTGTCCTCTTCCACAGGGTTCTGGGGGAGGCCTTAGGGAAGCCGGGGCATGACCCAGCGTGGGCTACGGAGGAGTCTGGGGCCCAGGTGAGGCTGGGACAGGGAAGGTGAATGTCAGCGGGGAGGGGCCCTTCCACCTGATTTCCCCAGCACAGATCGAGTACTTCCTAATACCAGTGATTAACGTTTATGTGACTGTTTACAGCCGACTAACTCACAGTAACCCCGAAGGCTAGGTATTATTAACCCATTTTAGAAAGGGATAAAAGTGACTCTCCCAGAGTCCCAGGGGAACTTGAGCATTCCACGCAGTCGTTCAGGCTCCAGAAGCCGTGAACTTGCCGTTGCCACACGCGGTTCCCCCTGTGCTGAGCTGCATTCTCGTGCAGACAACACACAGGCCTAAACAAGAGCTTGAACGTGAGCCAGGAGCAGGGTTCCCAAGAGTGCCGGGGACCCCTCTGCCCCTCCTTGGGTTGGGTCAGTCTTTCGCAGGGCAGAGAGAGTGATGAGTCATCAAGGCCAAATGACCAAAGGGTACTTTGAACCAGCAAATGCATTGACCTTTATTAAGCCCTGATTGGGGGCCACACACCTTGGAGGTCCTTTTACTAAATCCCTCCTGGGAACCACCCTGAGACGTGGTCCCCAAACTCTCTTTACATAAGGGAAACTGAGGCCCAGTACGGTGTGTAACTCGTCCAAGGCTGCAGAGCCTGGAGCCATCAGGGAACCAGAGATTGTATCTCAGGCTGCCTGGCTCCTCCAACTCCAGGCTCAGCTCCCAGTTGCCTGGCTGGACCCAGGGGAGATTCTGGAATCTTCCAACCCCCACCCAAGCCATGCACCAGCCCCTCAGCCCCTCCCTTACAGGATGGTTTTCTTCACGTTGTCTCGAGGACAGTCTGGTAGGAGAGCGGGGGGAGTGTCGCAGCCCAGGAAGATGAGGTCCCCCGAGAGGAGGTCATCCTGCTTGCAGGGAGAGTGCGAGAGATGCCTCAGGCAGGGGTCCGGGACCCTCCTCGCCGCCAGGCACTCGAGACACCTCTTGCTCACCAGGTAGCTCAGCTCCACCAGGTTCAGCAAGATGCAGACAACGGCCGTGGCGAGCATGAAGATGGTGAAGATGTTCTTCTCTGAGGGCTTGGAGATGTAGCAGTCCACGGTGTTGGGACACGGATCAGCGTGGCACTTGACCACGGGGGGCAGGGTGTACTTGGGGTAGAACGAATGGAACACGTAGAGGAAGGCAGCGTCCACGCCGGCCTTGAACACCAGGCTGCAGACGTACGTCCACCACAGCCCGCCCCGCTTCTTCCCGGGGTTCGCATAGAGGCGCCCGCCGTTCTTCCCGGCAACCTCCTGGTGCTTCTTCTCCCGAGCCTCCCGGTAGGCCACGTGCATGACCACGAGCAGCGAGGGGCACGTGACCAGGATGAGCTGCAGGGCCCAGAGGCGCACGTGGGACACGGGGAAGAACTCATCGAAGCAGACGTTGGAGCAGCCCGGCTGGCGGGTGTTGCAGTCGAAGTCCTTGTGGTCATCGCTCCACACACGCTCCGCCGTCACCAGGTACACCAGCACGCGGAAGATGAAGACCAGCGACAGCCAGATGCGCCCAAAGGCCGTGGAGTACTTGTTGACCCCGCTCAGGAGCCCCTCAAAGACTCCCCAGTTCATGGTGGGCTTGAGAAGCGTCGGCGGCTACTGCAAGAAAACCATCACAGTCACTGCCCGGCCCTCACGAAATGCTCACTCCGAGCACTCTGCAGACAGAGGTCATTGGCCTCAGTCCTGAGCCCATTTCACAGACGGAGGAAACTGAGGCTTAGAGGCCTATAGACTATTGGATGCAGAATGGGGATCCTCAGCATAGGTAATTAAGTCAGAACCCAACTCCACCCATGGAAGTAGGGGCACTGGTGGCTCCCAGGGCCTGCAACTGTGACCCTGGAGTCCTGCAGAGTGAAGACACAGGGGCTGCCTTCTCCATTCTCTCCCCAGACAGCCTCGTCCCAGGGAAACCTGCTCTTTGGCCTCTGCTTGGGTGTGACCCACTTGTAGCAGGGCCAAAGGCAACTGAGCTACCAGATAAAGTAGAGAGAACAATTCTTTTTGGACAATAGGCTTCCTAGCGGGGCTGGGTATTCCATTGTTTCCCCAACCATTGTTCCCAAGGGACCTGTTCCTTAGGCTGGAGAGAGGAGGAGTAAGAAAGGATTCTGTGTTCCAGAAGCATTGGCAAACCCTGGGTTCGGCGGGGTTACAAGGGGCCCTGTACTGCACTGTGCTGACTCATCTCACGGTGGGTGTCTCCCAGGGTGGACTGGAACTGGGAGCATCTTTAGGGAGCAGCTGGGTCCCAGACACCCACATGGGGCTCTGCTCTGGGCACTTCCGCTGGTGCATTCGGCATGAGAACATGCGAATCAGGGGCCAGGGCATTTAAGGAGCAGGTCTGCTGTGTGGCTCCCTCACTGGGACGTCCCCTGTCTGGGGGTCCCTGAGACCCATGCACTGTGGCCTCGCCCTGCTGGCCACCCAGGGCCCCGGGGGAGCTTGTGTGCACAAATTCCCAGGCAGGAGGTCTTGGCCATCCCGACCCTCTGCTGGGTCTGCTGGAAGTGTGGCTGCAACAGGTGTCACACACTGGCGTCACACACTGTTCCCTTGTAGCTACCTCTGGGTAGGGCACAGCATGGTTTTAAATAGTATTTTTTGGTTAATGATTTCGTTATTTATTTGAAAGGCAGTTATAGAGACAGGAGAGAGAGAGCTCTTCCATCTGCTGGTTCACTCCCCAGATGGCTACAATAGCCAGGGCTGGGCCAGGCTCACAGCCAGGAGCCTGGAACTTTATTCGGGTCTCCTCCCATGGGGTATCAGGGCCCAAGTAGTTGGGCCGTCTTCTGCTGCCTGGCCAGGTGCATCCAGGGACCTGGATTGGAAGCAGAGCAGCCCAGACTTGAACGGGTGCTCATATGGGATGCCGGCCAGGGTCGCAGGCAACACCTAACTCACTGAGCCACAGTGCTACATCCCCAATGGGCACACGAGGAAAGTGCAACATAGAGAGGTTAATGAAGTAGCTCTCTGTCACACAGCTTGCACGCCAGCGGCAGGGCTGGGAGCTGGACTCAGGCTGGCTAGTCCAGAGCCCATCCTCTGGGGACTGTCCAGTTTGGGGTCTGGGCCTCTTTGGACAAGCTGCTTGCAGTCCGCGCTGCTCGCAGTCCGTGCACACTGCCTCCCCCTCCGCGGGGCCTGGGCCAGGGCGGCTGCGGCGTCTCTGCTCCCCACCCGGTCTTTCCACCCCACCTCCCATTTGGCCGGGGGCCCCTGCTCTGAATCACCATCCTGTCTGCTCAGCCCGGCCAGGGTGGGCGGACCTCGGGCGGCTCCTGGGGAACACCCAGCGAGGCCCCAGCCCTTAGCCCCCGGGGCTGGGCCCAGCCCGCTTCGGGGCGGGGCGGGGCGGGGCTATGCGGGCAGCGCAGCTCCGCCCTCCCGCCCGGCCCGGCTCCCTCGGAGCCCCTCTCCCGCTCGGTTCCCGCTCCCACCTTAGCGCGGCTAGGGAGAGCAAGGAGGACGCGGGGCGCAGGGAGCGAGCAGCCCTGCACGCCTCCCCCAGCAGGACCCGGGCGGCCCAGGTGTCCCGGCCACCTCCTCTCACTGCCTAGCAGGAGTGTGCTGCCAGGTGTGCCAGGGGTCAGGGCACATCTGGATGCAGGTGTCCTTACCGTCCTGGCTACTCCGCGGGGTGCTGCCGGGTCGGTGCGCGGCAGCCGGCAGAGGGACTCAGCAAGCGGCAGGAATTCATGTCCGAAGCAGGAGGGTTTCAGGGGGGAAAGCCAGCTCCTGCGACCGAGTGGCCCAGCAGTCAGGGTGTGCCCGCCGCCGGGAGGGGGAGGAGGAGGAGGAGGAGGAGGAGGAGGAGGAGGAGCTGCGGCCCGCGGCCGGAGCTGCCATTGGCTGGGCCGCAGCCTCCCCAGGCCATCCCGGAGGCTCAGGAAACTTTAGGATTCGCTCGGAAACTGGAAACCCGACATCCTCTCGAGCAGAATCAGGGGTCCCGCTGATCCCCCACCTCCTCTTCCCCTCCGTGGGCGCAGGGTGTGGGAGGCCTGCAAGTTCTCTGCTTCTAACTCTCACCCCTCCTCCGGGTCTCCAGGTGCTCACACCTCCGGATACCCCTGCCAACTCCCTGCTCTCAGCTCTGGGCCCAGATGCACTTGCCCCTTTAAGTGGCTTCCCGCTGGGTGCCTTCTCCCACCTGCCTCCTCACCCGGGGGAGCTGCAAGTGAGTCCCACACCCCTGCACCCAGAATCTCCTGCCCTGGATTTGAGTCTCGCCCCTGCTGGTTTTAAATCTGCCTCCTCTACTAACGCTCGGGCGCCGTGCAGGGCTGGGCTGAACAGGCGCCCCATGTGGCTTGAGTCCCAGTGCCTCAGCTTCTTGTGTGGGAGGTGGGAAAACAGCGCCCACCTGGTTGTCAGTGCATGGATGGCCCCAGTCTTGGAGGACTTCCTGCACTGTCCCCCGTGGAGACCAACTGCCCAGCACCAGTGGTTATTCCTTATTCCTGTGTCTGGAGAAGGCAGTGGGACACCGGCTCACTGAGGAAAATTGTGTTTGGAGGCCATCGTCTCTGAGTTGCAAAGGCACAGCCTAAGACTGGCAGGTGAGGGGGCGGTGCCTTCGGAAGGCTCAGTCTCTGCCTGGTTTCCCAATGGACTTCCGAGACGCCCCTTGGGAGCTGTGAGCGGGACTCACGGCTTTGGACTCCCACCACATGTTCATAAGCTTACACAATGGCGTGCCACCCACACTGGCTGTGACATGCAGGCCACCCTTGGGGGCACAGTGGTGCGCTCCCACGGGGCAGTGGCTTCATTATTTCGCTGCTGTGTGCCTGGCGCCTGGCACCAGGTGGTGGTAAGTTGGACCCCGATGGATGCAGATTTATTGAATGAATGCCATGTGACATGACTGTGCTCGTCCATCTAGGAGGCTCACATACATCCACACCCCTCCACATTCTTCCCCCAAACTATTGCCAAGTGCAGGAGGAGGCACACAAACGGATGAGTCACAACACCGCAAGACGTGGGAACAGACATGGATAATCAGGGTGCAGGAACCATGTGAGCCATGTGTCCCGCTCACAGCACCCAGGGGGAAGTCCTTTGGGAAACCAGGCAGAGACTGAGCCCTCCGAAGGCACCGCCCCCTCACCTGCCAGTCTTTGGTTGTGCCTTTGTGTTAGACAGGAAGTTAGAGATTAGGCCTGCCCGACAGAGCCCCCCAGGAGGTGAGGTTTAGGCTGGGTCTGGAAGAATGTGTAGGAGTTCACCAAGGGAGGTGAGGCTGTGGGCATGTGGAGTG